CCCCAGACTCTTCTCTCCTTTGTGCCCTGCCTGTCCGTTCGCGTCGGCTGTAGATACTCTGCTGAGTGGCCCTTTGCCTTGCTGATGGGTGTTCACGGGTCCCTGCCTCTGGTAACAGTACAGGGCAGGATCTGTCCTTCGTGTGTATTCCCAGCTTTTGCCAGGATAATGCCTGTGACTTGATAGACACCGTAGGTAGCTGCTGCCTCGTTGACTGATAGAATGAATGGCCCTGTGCATGAGTAGGATGGTTTCTTCATGTGGATTTTTGGGTTCTTCCGCTTTGTTTTTACAGGAAGGGGTGCCCGAGCCAGAAACCGAACGGGAAGACACCCGTCCTGAGACGAGCGTCGCTGACGAAGTTGCTCTGGAGGAGCCAGCCGAGGACGAGACATTGAGGTCTGTGCTCACAGCAGACCAGCCTGACATGTCCGGTAAGTCGGCGAACATCCCTGGAGGTTGACTTTTCTGCCGTCTGTGCTTAAACGCCACTGTGGGACTAGGGAAAGGGTTAGCTTGTGGGTAGATGGAAGGCATGCTTCGGCCGCAGGTGTTCCTGGGCTCCATCGCCAGGACCTCCGTCGAAGGAAAGAAGCTACGTGCGAACCTAAAGTACCTCAAGACTGTAGGTCCAGATACCACCTGCAGTACTGCTTGCTTCCCTTTTGCCCACTGTCCCCCACACATCCCAAACACGACCAGGTTTTCCCTCAAGAAAATTCTTCAGTCCTCTGAAGGTCCTTTGGGCCACGTTAGTTTACGGAAAGATTCTTGAATGGGGTTAGACTTCCCGGGTGTGGGTAGAATTCAAAGTGGTCAGTGTTGTCGCTAACATGTGTGTGCCTGTACCATCTAGGTGACACATCGGGAAAAGAGGAAGACGCGGAGTCCACTGACGAGGAGGTACCGTCTCCTTTGGCTGTTTTTTTTTCTTCTTTTACTACCTAACCGTCGAGGGTCGTTGATACGTAAGCGGATGGATACGTCACCCCTGCGTCCTGACGTTTGCATTTTCCCATTACCGTTCTTGCCTAATATTTTCTAATCCACAAGTGCTAAAGTCATTCTGTGCTTTCGGTCTCTCGAGGGCACAGTACACTTGTGTTAGTTCTCCACGCTCCCCTACGGAGAGCGGTGTCTGTGTCTCCATTCTTTGCTTGCACTGCTTTTCCCTGGTAGGTTAGTCCAAGTCACTGCATGTAGATAGCTCCCCGTGCCAGTTCAGAGGTCTCCCGCTTCGCCTTGCAGTTTTGGCCCTCCTCGGTTTCGATGAGTGGACTGGTGCCTCAGTTTACTGAGTCTTGCCAGTGGGGTCTTCCCATTCCGTTCCCACCCAAGTGTGTTCCCGGTATTCCGTGTGACTTCCCGTGCCGTTTCCCCCCTCGTCCTTTGGCTCAAGCTGCCCCTCCTCGAGTCCCTCAGCCTGCCCCCTCTGCGCTCGGCCTGCCTTTGAAGACACGGTGCGGTCTTCCCAGCGTTCCCCGAGCCGAGCCCTGCCCCAGACTCTTCTCTCCTTTGTGCCCTGCCTGTCCGTTCGCGTCGGCTGTAGATACTCTGCTGAGTGGCCCTTTGCCTTGCTGATGGGTGTTCACGGGTCCCTGCCTCTGGTAACAGTACAGGGCAGGATCTGTCCTTCGTGTGTATTCCCAGCTTTTGCCAGGATAATGCCTGTGACTCGATAGACACCGTAGGTAGCTGCTGCCTCGTTGACTGATAGAATGAATGGCCCTGTGCATGAGTAGGATGGTTTCTTCAGGTGGATTTTTGGGTTCTTCCGCTTTGTTTTTACAGGAAGGGGTGCCCGAGCCAGAAACCGAACGGGAAGACACCCGTCCTGAGACGAGCGTCGCTGACGAAGTTGCTCTGGAGGAGCCAGCCGAGGACGAGACTTTGAGGTCTGTGCTCACAGCAGACCAGCCTGACATGTCCGGTAAGTCAGCGAACATCCCTGGAGGTTGAGTTTTCTGCCGTCTGTGCTTAAACGCCAGTGTGGGGCGGGG